TTCAACAACTATCCATGTAATAAGGGCATATAATAGACATTCAACAACTATCCATATAATAAGGGCATATAATAAAAATTCAACAACTATCCATGTAATAAGGGCATATAATAGACATTAAACAACTATCCATGTAATAAGGGCATATAATAGACATTCAACAACTATCCATGTAACAAGGCCATATAATAGACATTAAACAACTATCCATGTAATAAGGGCATATAATAGACATTCAACAACTATCCATGTAATAAGGGCAAATAACAGATATTCAACAACTATCCGTGTAATAAGGGCATATAACAGACATTCAACAACTATCCATGTAATCAGGGCATATAATAGACATTCAACAGCCAGCCATGTAACAACCAAAACATGTAATATTTCATGAAAAAAACCACTAATTGACCTATTATTAACACAATTAGTGCTTAGTTTTAAAAAAATGTTTAACCCCCCCCCCCCCCCAACCCGTACCAACATTCTGCATTTAAATTATTAGGTGTCTTTTATTTTCTACACATGACTGCACAGTTGGAAAACACATTCGGATTTTAGGCATACTATTTTAAATGCTTCTTCATGCAAATCTCACAGAATGACATGACATTCTGCGAACACAAGCATTCAATACGTATGCTTCTCTATTGCTATTTGTCCTTTGCATGGGAAGGTGACCAAGCCTATAACTAACGCTGAGTACCCAGATGGCTTTCCAGTGCCATCTGTGCCTGTGAAGCACGTAGGACACACAGTATAATTCTCTAAGTATGAAAGAAGGTATGGTGTTCTGGTGATTTCTATGTAACGCTCAAAATATAATTTCTGATAACTGCGCTAAATGAGATTCTTAAAAAAATACCTCAAGTGCTCAATAGTTTCCTACGTTGTACGACATAGTCTCAACTTAAAGATGATGTGATCTTTAGTGTAAAAGGGTGGGCCTTTAGAATGTTCATATAGCTAAGGGGTATGCAAAATGTGTTCTGTTGTGTAACTTGGGGTAGATGGGGGCAGTAACTAAACAGGTATCCTTATAAAGTGACTGACATGAATGCACGTTTTGTCTTAGTGACTTAATAGACGGGACGTTCATGCCTTGCGGCTACCATTTGCAGGTCGAGCTATAACTAGTTGAACATAATCTATATATGATACCCTCAGAAACATACATTGCTTTTTATGAAGTTGTTTGTTTTTTTTAAATGGAGAATAACTTTATGATATTATTTCTTTTTTCAACAATTTTAAAATGGACAACAACAACAACAACAAAAAGACACCAAATGTTTCCAATGAAATGTTGTGTTAGAACTCGTTCAGGTACATAACACTGAGTACAAATCAGCGAGTGCTATAAAAGTAAGGTTACGTGTAACAAATCATGCTGACTGTAGAAGAAGTGAAGGGAAAGTATTGATGAAGAGGTCTTAATATGTTATAACCTACAACATCATAGCAAATGCCCACTTGCGGGTCGAATCACAGTAGTGGTTCCCAAACGTTATGGAAATGATTTTAAACTATCATTACAAATAAAATTGAAACAGTTTTTGTAACAAAATATGTTGTAACTAAGCCAAGTCAAGAACCCAACACCCCCCACCCCCACCAAGACGCAAGTCAATAAATATATTTTAAAAAATCCAATTTAAGAATACATAGTATATTGCAATGTCTGTGTTCATATTAAATATTAACTAAACCCATTCTTTCTTCAAGTAAAAAAAAAAAATAAAAAAATTACCTTTAATTTTTCAAACTTTTTCAGGGCGATATAATTGTAAAACATTCTTGGTATTAGTTCGGTAGAGATGGATGAACTTTTTACATAGAACACGGCAGAATTGTGCGTTTATTATTATTTTGTAGTTACAAAAATATAATATAAAAAATAGTATAATCATGTGGTGTAGTGTCACTGTGTTATTATCTGCTTGATTTTGTGTAGAAGATCAGCGTGTAGTGTGACTATGTGTAGTGTCACTGTGTTATTATCTGCTTGATTTTGTGTAGAAGATCAGCGTGTAGTGTGACTATGTGTAGGGTCACTGTGTTATTATCTGCTTGATTTTGTGTAGAAGATCAGCGTGTAGTGTGACTATGTGTAGTGTCACTGTGTTATTATCTGCTTGATTTTGTGTAGAAGATCAGCGTGTAGTGTGACTATGTGTAGGGTCACTGTGTTATTATCTGCTTGATTTTGTGTAGAAGATCAGCGTGTAGTGTGACTATGTGTAGTGTCACTGTGTTATTATCTGCTTGATTTTGTGTAGAAGATCAGCGTGTAGTGTGACTATGTGTAGGGTCACTGTGTTATTATCTGCTTGATTTTGTGTAGAAGATCAGCGTGTAGTGTGACTATGTGTAGGGTCACTGTGTTATTATCTGCTTGATTTTGAGTAGAAGAAAATAAACTCACGTGAAAACATTCTACTAATCAATGTAAGGCAAGAAAAGTCAGACAAATAAATGGATACTCATCCGTCTCATGTGAATACAAAGAGGTCAACGCCATGACCATCTCATTCCCTATTAGGCCATGCTGTACCCATGGGACTTGTTATCTTATGAACATGCTGGGGGCTTGGTGCCCTGGAAATAAATAATGAAACATGAGGTCATGTTAAGAACTTCAACCGTCTCCTGACCCGCCAGGAAGAGAACAATCAATCTTAATTATCACGACTGGCCATGATTAAAATGTGATACGGATATATCTTCTCAACTCTTTAAACATGTTTCGTCACAACAGACAATGAACAAGAAGAAAAAGTTTGATTTCTCACAACTGAGCACATTGATACAAATCCATAACTTTGAGTGTGTACAAGTTAAAAATAGATATGAGGGAAGCACACCCTTAAAAAAAATTAAAATTAGCCATTTTTTTTTTCTCTTTCGTTTTCTCCCACAACTGACAACTAGTGATCAAATCTCTGCTTGTGTTCAAATCTCTGCTTGTGATCAAATCTCTGCTTGTGTTCAAATCTCTGCTTGTGATTAAATCTCTGCTTGTGTTCAAATCTCTGCTTGTGATCAAATCTCTGCTTGTGTTCAAATCTCTGCTTGTGATCAAATATCTGCTTGTGATCAAATCTCTGCTTGTGATCAAATCTCTGCTTGTGATCAAATCTCCGCTTGTGATCAAATCTCTGCTTGTGATCAAATCTCTGCTTGTGATCAAATCTGTGCTTGTGATCAAATCTCTGCTTGTGATCAAATCTCCGCTTGTGATCAAATCTCTGCTTGTGATCAAATCTCTGCTTGTGATCAAATCTCCGCTTGTGATCAAATCTCCACTTGTGATCAAATCTCTGCTTGTGATCAAATCTCTGCTTGTGATCAAATCTCTGCTTGTGATCAAATCTCTGCTTGTGATCAAATCTCTGCTTGTGATCAAATCTCTGCTTGTGATCAAATCTCCGCTTGTGATCAAATCTCTGCTTGTGTTCAAATCTCTGCTTGTGTTCAAATCTCTGCTTGTGATCAAATCTCTGCTTGTGTTCAAATCTCTGCTTGTGATCAAATCTCTGCTTGTGTTCAAATCTCTGCTTGTGATCAAATCTCTGCTTGTGATCAAATCTCTGCTTGTGATCAAATCTCTGCTTGTGTTCAAATCTCTGCTTGTGTTCAAATCTCTGCTTGTGATCAAATCTCTGCTTGCGTTCAAATCTCTGCTTGTGTTCAAATCTCTGCTTGTGATCAAATCTCTGCTTGTGTTCAAATCTCTGCTTGTGATCAAATCTCCACTTGTGATCAAATGTTAGGTGATGTAATTGAAAATGTCTGCCTGCATTATTTCCATATTTAAAAAAAAAAGCAATACTCCAATGATTAGGATTGTTATCATTAGAATAAATCCAATATATCTTGACACCATGATCTTATCACGATTAAGTAAATAACCAACGTTACAGATGTCAGCATTTTTTAAATAGCATTCTAAGTTTAGTGCAGCATGATGAAGTAAATAAGCCACTGTAAAGAGCTGAACTTTTTAATAGTGTTCCCTGTTTAGTGAAGCAGTTAAAAAGTAAACTGGTAAGTCTACTCTATTTGGAGTGGTCTGCCCTTTTTAAAAAAAAGTCCCTCGCCAATTCGGAAGCAGTCTTTTGACTTCAGCCCACTGGGTTTGTTGACTTTCGTCCCAAGATGAACCATGTGAATGGCATGATGAGTCCATTTGATCTGGCTGCTTACCCAAAGCCAATCGGAACCCTGACCTCTCAGTTGCCAGGAAGACGATGTCACCACGGCATCTTGGGGCCAGCTGACAGAGTTCAGGGATGACATGAATACAGCGACCTTGGATGTATCCCAAACCAACTTGACCAAATCAGCTTCAGCTTCCTTTTCGATTTCCCCAGCGTCAACCTGGGTGAAAACAAGCCAACTATGAAACAAATGGAATAAAAATAATTAGATGCATGTTTAAAGAATAGAAAGAACCGACAAGTAAGGAAAATTATACACACATAAAACAAGGATGTTATTGCCGTTATTCCCATGACATGCAGAGAATGGTGTTACTGGGTGCACACTAGCCAGGAGGCGGTTGGAGAGAGAGAGAGAGAGTATGATAAAGAATATTGCTTGAGTAAAAGAAAATGTGATAATCCTAAATTTAAGCGAGTGCTATGACAGTAAGGTTGCGTGTATCTTATATTTAAGTGAGTGCTATGACAGTAAGGTTGCGTGTATCTTATATTTAAGCGAGTGCTATGACAGTAAGGTTGCGTGTATCGTGTATTTAAGCAAGCGCTATGACTATAAGGTTGCCTGTAACCTATTTTCTTCACCTCCATAACAAATATTCATAAATGACCAAGAAAATACTTTAATTTTTTGTATAGACTTTAATATCGAATATGTAGATAAAACAATAAAATATTTCTAATTTTCAAGTGTGATGCACACAAATAGAACACAAACATTGTTTTTACCCCATTCAAAGTAACCCAAGGTACATATTGATGACTGGGAACAAGGGCATCTGTTTGAGCTGCCATCTGATGTTCCAGGCTGTTACCCATGCTAGAATTGCCGCACTTCAGGATTTGATCCAAAGGAACTAGGAATCTTTTAGCACACTGGAAAAAAATATTTTCAAAAAGAATTCATTGAATTGAAAATAAAATGGGGAATTCATTTCATTATAAAAATTATACTCAAAAATGATATTTGCATTTTCAATTAAAATATTTTTAAAAATATTTCTTTCCTCGGTGTAAGAAGTTACGATTATGGTAAATTATAAAGTCGTTTAAACATTATCTTCATATTAAATTTTTTCAAAGGAACTCATTGCTTGGAAATAGGTTCATTATGATTTAAAAAAAAAAAAAACTCTCGTTAAAGTAAATACCCACTTTAGCTGAATCTTCTGGTCTGGCTGCAGAGCTTTCCATGCAATTGATAAAAGGGAAATGAATAGAAACTTTCTGTACAATGAAAATAGCAAATTAAATGTCTGTGGAAAGAAAGAAGAATATAACAATATAAGAAAACTAATGCTGTGAGCAAAGGAATTTATATAAGTAAATATGAGATTAAGAATTTTTTTTAATTTCTGCGATTTTCTCTAAATATAATTAATAAACAGTCATCTCCAAACATGATAACCTAAATGCTGTTTCCAACACACTCTTCTTTTCTATGTGGGCAATTAAACTCCCAGTGGTCTCCCACTTGTTTTTACTTTTTGTGAAATATAATAAATATGACCCATTATTTACCAGTGATATCTCTAATAAAATTAGCATTCGATAAAGCTTCGTATGTAAACAAAATTAGCAAAATTTAATTTTAATTTGTAATCTTTTGCAGTTTAATAGAGAAAAAAAAACCAAGCAAAGAAAGCATTTTTTTTTTTAACATCTGAAAATGTCCCATTATAACAGTTTTGACATTTAAACAATTTAATTTTTAAGGCTTAAGAATAGTAAAAAAAAAATCATTTGGAATTATCAATATTTGAAATTATCAAAAAATGAAACATCTGGATTGAAAGGTATTTCCATACTTGAACATTTCCATAAGGCACTAGTTTCAGGTTCATAAGGCTTCCAACTTCCTGCCATGATGGAAATAACATCTTAGTGATGAAATTCTTGCAATCAAGACAAAGACTTTCATAGTAGAGAGTTGTGTTGACAAGCTCTGGATCCCTCTGTAAAGACCACTCATTTCTTTTGCATTGTGCATATACCTAAACAATAAGAAAAAAAATGCTTTAGAAGGGATTAAACTATTAGGAAAGGTTTCAATTTTTCTCTTCAAGTCTTTGATTTACCATAAATATTTCTATATAGTCTTGCATCTGCGTTGCTATTTATGTCAACTTTTTCTTCAGTTGCACATCTCCCAACTAATAGATGCTGATCTTAGAACTGCATTATAATCTGATATTTCAACTTTGTGTACTATAGAAGTTTTAAGACATAGTGAAATTTTCAAACAATTGGAAGAACAAAAAAATTGCAAAGATTTTCATAAAAGCATGTGTAAAAAGTAAAAACATTAAAATAAGAATAAACAAGGAAAAATAATAGCAGTCTCACAATTAGGACACTATTACTGACTTATGCTCATTGAGTCAAAGCAAATTATCTCTTATATCTATTATGTTTCCGGTGTGACTGCATCCATTTACGGCAGCTTGCTAACAAGCCGGCTGCTTCTTGTTCCGCATTTTTTGGTGCTGAGATTATTTTTGTAGCTTTTGCTATATGCTTTGTATTTTGTAATGTATATAAGGGTATGAGAAATGGTGTTGTTTAATGTTCTTATGTTTTAGCAGGAGCAGCAATAATGGCGTAGTAAGTAATGGAGTTCTTTATTTAATAAGTAGACGTTGGCTACATATAAATGGTTTGTACAATAATTAATAAAATGAATTATATTACATATAATTCTATACGTTTGAAAGAAAGTATGCTTCATTAGTGCAATAAATATTCCGTTTATCAGAATATTTATACAAGTTAATGGCCGTGAAATAAAAATTATGCACTAATTAATCAAAGGATAAAAGGGGTGTATCGAAAATTGGGGTTCTTAAATGTGCGTTACTTGAGTTGATGTTTGTCAAGTAACTTTAGTAGAGGGGAAGTTCGTGCATTGCCGTCACCAATGTTTGCATGTGACTAATATTAAATAGGACTCTGGTCTTGTTAGTACGTTGCAGTAGAGATTAGTTACTCATTTGTATTTTGTTTTAATTTAAAGAAAATGCAATTAGCTTATGACAAGTTATGAAGGGGTTTGATGGCGACATGTGTTGTCCAGCTGCGACTATTCGCACCCGGGTACCAGAAATGATAGGTTGGGTGAAAAAACTATTTAAAATATTATTGAAGGGTTTGTAAGACAAAATGAGTAATCACATGAAAGATAATTGAATGGACTATATGTTTTTAAACTTACTTCTTCAGTTTAACTAAAATTAACTGCCACAAATGACATCCGAATAGCTTAAGCCTAATGGTACACGGGTGCGAATGGCGGCGCTGTGTGTCCGGGCCACTTCTGGTACCCGGGTGCGAATAGCCACTTCGTTGTTGTCTACTGTAGTCCGGTAATCTACCACTTGAGTGTTGGCTACGAAAAAATACAGTTGTTCCATTTTGGAGTGCTATTTAAATTCTTTTTATAGCATTGTACTTATTCATTTCAGCAAGTATATAATACAAACACTCCAAGTCAGGGGACATTTTTTTTTAAATAGAAAAACCGACAAAATTTCAACATTTTTAAAACAGAAGAAATCAAACAATTTGGATCAACAAAATTCTGTTGATGCACCACAACAGAGTGTTTATATATTCCAATTCTGATTTGGTTTATACCGGCATAAGCCGCCCACCTGTCTGATACAATCAGTGAGCCTAGCAGGATATATCTTTCTATACACTTTTGTAACGTGATCGTAAAACGGCCTTGCACATCGGTGAGAAAAAATCACCCAGTCTCCACCAAAACCTATGCGGCCCTCTCTCTGCTGTCCACGGTGATATTTCCTCTGGGCCTGTGGAAATATTAATTGTTTAAATAGCACTTCAAAGCGGAACAACTGGATTTTTCGTAGCCGAATGCAGTTAAGTGGTGGATTATCCGCAGTACAACATAAAGCCCTAATATGTCCATTTGAATACGCGCTGAAAGACGCTGGGTAAAGACTGGACTGAGTGTCGACAGACAGATCTTTTGGACAGCGAAAGATGCGGTGGCAGAGATTGTACAGAGGGCAAAGGATGACTACTGGAGCTCAAAGGTCGAATCATGTGCATCAACCAAGGCGTTGTTCAGCGCTAGTAACCGTCTCCT